TTAAAGATGGATCTGCTTCCTCAATGGGATGGGAGGGTCACCCACACTAAGTGACTGAAAATTTGAAGCAGCCTACTCTAGCAGTGCAATGAAAGATGTGGTGGCCAAATTTACCCTGTCCACTATGAGGAGTACATCTTTTGCAGAGAATTCCTTTGACTTTGATTTAATCCAATAAGGGCTTAAGATCTCTTCAAAATCTCTTCAAAAGCCAACCTTCCTTGCCAACTGCGAGGGCTGGATATTCACATGCCACTCCTCAGCACTGCCATGGCTAAGGGACTCTTGCAATGAACTCAGCACAACAATTGCAGACTTGCTGCATCCATTGGCATCAAATGAATCTGTTCACCAAAAGCAGACAATGTTAGAGGCCCACACATCACCTGCATCATAGGCTACTATCAGCAGTATTCTAAGGTGGCAGTATAGCAAATCTGCTGTTTTTGATGTGTTTAAACCATGCCTTCACTAGGACTCCAATCTCATGGGCTTCCAGATTTATTTTACAGCCTATTGTCCAGAGAATAATGTGAGGAAATTTTTGCTTTTCCAAGAGCTGAACTGACTCTGCACAGATGTTTTTTGAAGCAGTTTGTGACACCATTCTTCTCTGACATTGCAGAAAAATTCCACTGGTGTGCTGAGTGGCATGAGCAGAGATACCCAAATGCCAAGCCCCTGTTTGGGTGCTTCTGGAACCTCTGCGTGAATGGTATGTTTCCAGGTCTGTCTGCCTTCTCATGATGTGTGTTCTCCCTGGTCTGTTTTCCATCCCTTTCTCCTTTTCCTAACTTTGCTGCACCCCACTGCAGGAAGTGGCTTTGACCACACTCAAAAACCTGGCTGGTTCTCTAGGAGGCTGGAGTTGTTATTGAGCTCCCTTCATGGGTCTTTTTGGCATACCCATCCTCACTTCTGTACCACTTCAATATTGATGTTGATGGTGCTTTTTCATCATGACAAACTTTGAATTTCAATCTAATGTGCCTTTCAAGATATTGATTTTGTCTCCACTCCAGCCTACTTGGGAAAGCCCAACTCATTTACAGGGCAATGGCAGAGGGAGCTTTGTTTTTTTAATGAAGCAATGCTTTACCAATTGAGGTCTTTATTGTCTCTCTATAATTCTGCCAAGCTCTGCCTGAGCTCCACTGAGTTCAGGTAGCTTTTGATAACAGGGCACATATTGAGTTGGCAGGTGGGTCACAGCCAAGCTCTGCAGGACTCAGGCCAGTCCTGAGAACTGGGATTTCACCTCAGCCAGGACAGGACCAGGACAAGGGTGTTTTTGATGCAACTGCAATAAAATCACATGACTTTATACAGGTCATCTCACATGCAAGTTTAAACATCACAATAGTGTCACAGTGTGTGACATCACTTCTTTTCTTCAAACACAACCCAATGAGCTGCCCACAACAACCACAACATGATGCCCAATGCCAACCATAACCTGCAATGAACATGAAAGGACACCCACACATGGAGACATTGTCACCACCCATGAAAACCACCACCACCATTTCAAAATGCACCAGACAGAAACCATGTGCCACATCATCAGGAAAGGGCTGGAGGAAAGGAGAAAGCATGCTTGGTGCATTTGAGTAGTTAGTTGTACATTCTTGTCATGTCTTGCATGTTTCTTGTTTTCTTGTCATTACAGTTGTCAGTGGTATTCTTTTTATTGTCTATTTATATTTCTATTTCACAGTATTTCATCATTAAATATACCAATTCTTGGTGGATTTGGATGGAAAGGGGTTCACTGGAACCACATGAATGGGGGCTACAAAATGGGCCCAAGAAATTCAGAATTGAGAGATGGGAGGGAGTGCAAAATGGGCAGGGTATAGAAATTCAGGCATGGCAGTTTTTTGAGTCATAATACTACTAGAAACAGATGTGTATAAAGTGAGTAGGACCATCCCCCAGTCACTGTGAAGAGAGAAGATATCTTCTGATATTTTGGCAGACCAACATGTAGACACAATGGTCAGAGCATCTGTGAATAACCAGAGCAAACAGCTGGAAGATGAGCACAGCAATACTGAGAACTAGTTGAGGATTGTTCATAAACTTGAGACACTGAGTTTTTGCTCACAGCATATGCCCACGAACTATCCCTGCCACAATCTTGCTCCTGAACTGGGGCATCCTTCATTGTTGAAGATCGTTTGGATCCTCCTCATCAACTCCCACTGTTTCTTGCAAATTGGATTACTGCCTAACTACATGCCACATAGTTATGAGCCCAATATACACCCCAAATATAGAGGCTGGAACCCTAAGATATAGCCAGCATGAGAGTTGGGGGAGGCACATTATGAAATCCTGCCTTGCATGCAGATTAAAGCAATGCTAAAAAGAGATCAAGAACCATACCAGAGTCTCCAGAACAGGCTTGACTTCTATCAGGTGACAGACACTGTGATGGTAACAGTAGGAACTGTATAGGTGAACAAGATTATGTGAACAAGGGCACCAGAGTCGTGCATTTACCCTCCCCCACATACTCCATGTGGAGTCCAGTGGATTCTGGTGGCCCACTTGCTAGGCCAGATTGGCTTGCAAAATGCTCAGTCCACTGACCTCAAGTCCAGTCCAGTCCAGTCCCAGTCCAGTCATAGCTCACTGGATTCCATTGGATTCCAGTGATTTTAGTGCATTATTGCTTATTACTTATTGTTATTAATCATGACTACTACAAAAAAAGCGATAATAGACAACTACATTGATAGAACAGACTTACATTTACATTAATAAAATTACAAGCCTAATCTTTCACACATCAATATATGTGAGAGCTTGCTGCAATAATGATCAATAATTTTGTTCAGTCTGCAGGATTGTGTCACATGACTTACTTAATGTGACATTCAAATGTTACCACCCATATCATCATGTTTGCTGTTACTTGCATGTCCATCTATTTCCCTCCCATCACCACTGCCACCTCTCCTTCACCACTGCCAACATTTCACAAACGTTGGTGGTGGTGTTGACCACTCTTGAAACATTTATTGTGCTCATCATCATCCCAGATGATTGTGAATTATTAGTCTTTCTACCTGAACTTGATGATTTCTTTAAACTGTCTGCCATATAAAGATTGAGGTATAATGACAAGGAGATCAAGTTAGAGGTAACTATGAGCTGATTGGGTGACTAGAAGATAGAATGTGTGATGTGGGTGCAACATGTTCTGCCAGTAATGGAAGGATCTGTTCTTACCGAGATCTTGATATTGTAGGGTCGATCACATGGAACCTCACATGAACATAGGGAGATTTCCCAGTGTGTCCACCAATGTTAAAGTATGCTGACTCTGATGTTGGAAGGTGCAAAACCATTATTGCATACAAATGATCCTTGCTTGCACCTTCCCAAACAAGCCTTGGCAAACGAGGTCTTCATTGTCTCCCTGTAATTCCTGCCAAGCTTGGGTGGTTTTTTAAGGTAGGGGAAAAAAAAGTTGGCTGGGGGAGGAGGACTGAGCTTGGCAGGACTCAAACCAGCTCTGAGGGCTGAATTAGGATTGACCAGGACTGGGAGTGTTTTTTACTTGGATGGTGCTCATTGCTGGTATTGATGTTGGGGAACATTTTCAGGGTCCAGGGTGCATTTCCTAATATAGTAATCTGTCCCCAAAATAGCAGAAAAATTTGGAGGACAGTGCTGATTGTGGGTAACATTTTCAGGGACTAGCGTCCATTTCCACATATGGTAATCTAACCAAAAATGGCCAGAAAATCACCAAAACATTCAAATAGTTCTCACTGTTGTTTATAATATTAGGGTCCATTGTTCAGAATCTAGAGAAATGTCCAGATAAGGAAATTCTGATGGAAAAATAGCAAAGAAAATCAGACAAAAACCAGAAAAATTATAAATTCTGTCAGGCACTATCTTCAGGGTCTACTTTAGGGTCCATCCCAAAAAGGAAATCTCATATGGTTTGACCCAAAAGTGAAGAAAAATGATTCAGGTCCATGTAAGGGGATGTTGAGATGTTAGTCACATGACCAGTTACCACAAATGGTCAAAATGAAAGTCGTAGCCCTACACTGTAGCTTCCTGAATGTGTTTGAATTATGTTCTGAAGTGTTCCTGTTGTGGAGACATGAAGTAAAAAAAAAATCAAAAGAGTCGCATTTTTTTGTTGTTTTTTTTTGCATTTTTCTCCATGAAAACAAAACCAGACCCTGCAGGAATTGCGGAAGGACTGGAAAGTACAGCCCCATCCAACTTTTCCCCCCCCTACTTATAGCTCATTGTTCCCCCTTCTTTCCCTCACCCTTCTCATCATCCACCACTGCTACAACAATGACTCGCAGTATTGATGGCTCTGGGGTTTATTCTCTGGCCACTCGCAGATTAACTCACATCTGTGAAGTGAATTTTCTTAGTTGAAAAAGGGAACTTATTGGCTGGGCAAGGGTGAGATTTTTTGAATGCCAGTGAGTATTTTTGCCTGCATATATGCATCACTTTGTAAGTTCTGATGTTTTGGTGTTCATTTATCTAGGTTTGCATGTTGTTCTGATGCACAGGCTGCTGAGGCCAGTCATGCACATCATGGATTTGCCTCAAACACCCTGTCAGGGATAAAACTATTCAGAAACCCCCTTTCTGCGAAAAATAGTACCGCTTATATAGAAACCCCCTTTCTGATAGGACAAAGAATGTCGGCATAAAATGCCGGAAATTGATCATGTGATATGTTCTGTTGATCAAAGAACGCGATACGACTTGGAGACTCGACACGCAACTCTTGTGTGTCTTATGGGGTGTGGCAGCACAGCAGCGACCATTTGTGGAGCAGTTGCTGTCGCATGTCCCTTAACACTGTCGACTACGGCGTCTACCTGGCTGTGAAGACATGCGCTATTTAACAATTATGGTGATGTTGACAGGCCAACTAGAGGTGTGTACAGTAGATCATAACTCTTAATCACTATCTAAATATTCTTCAAGCTTGGGCAGGACCTTTTCATATGGCCGGTCTTATCACAAATGCCGCATTTTCGTGTTTGTGCTGCCTTCGGTTGTGCCCTTGCCCCTCCTCCTTGCGGACGTCCTTCGGTAGCACCTGTTATTCTCCGTTCACGTGGCCTGCCCTTTGGATTGAGGATTGGCGGCTCATGGAAGTCGTCGTTTTCAGCCTCGCGTCGACGCGAGGCGCTGTATTTTATGTCGGTAAGCGCATTCAATCTCATAGAAATACTACAAATACTGGGAGAGGTGGTTAGAAATGCTTGAAAGTCACTTGAATAATGTCTCATCATGGGAGTTATTGATACCACAGAACTAAGATGAGTGAGCGCGATGTCCTCGAGGCGAGGTTTGGGCGAAGAGCTACGCACGGTCACATGTCCTTGTTTGGGCAAGGCACGCAAATTCGCATTATGATGGGCAAACAAAAAATCATGGGGTTTCTCGCTTAACACAGAGAAACCCCTGATTTCTCGCAGAAAGGGGGTTTCTGAATAGTTTTATCCCCCTGTCAGCCCCCAACAGTCGGCAGTCAAGTCGAAATGTCTACATCACTGGTATCATGCTCAACAGGCCATGCTTTGCTTTCTCACAGCTCATCAACTTAGGAGGTGGATGGAAGGGTTGATCAGATGTGAATCAGGGATTTGGAGTGGTTTTTTTTTTGTCTGTGAGTGATGTATAAGGTGCATCTGCGATCATTCTTGTTCTGACTTTCCACTTTCCAGCACATGGTGTGCTAATCAAGCTATCCCTTTCAAAATGACAGATTTGGGCAGCTACAGCATTCTGGCAAAACATCATGAGGTGACTGACATAATCTATATTTTGTCTTTCACACTGTCAAGCTTACTGCCAGAGCTGATGCAGTCATTGACAGATGCTACGTGTGGCCTCAGGTAAGATCCCACAACACTAGTAGCTTTGTTTAACAATGTTGCAGAAGGATCAATAGCCCAAAAACAACCAACATCAGTCCTCCAGCTCCCAATGCTCCAGGTCCTGACCCCCTCACCTTGATCGCCCCCTTTGTAATCAAAGCCTTAGTTGCAGTCTACCCCTCTCTCCTCACCATCGCAGTTGAGGCAGCCCTGGCTATATGCGCAGCCATGGGTGCAATTCCTCACACACCACCATCAACAACCTATCTCCTCACCAATGCCCATCCAGCAAGGATGTCAGCCATCATTGCCATGATCATCCTGCTGCGCCTCCTCAGAAAACACATACTGGCGTGTCTGAAGGGAGGTGACTTCATCACAGGTCGAGTCCAGATGGCAATGCTGATCGTTCACCACACCTGCTTCCACTCCTCTCTTCCCTTCAACTCAACACTATGTCTTTTTCGGACTTTGTCTTAGGTACTACAAGAAATACATTATTTATTTTGCCTGTATTTCATATGAAGTGTTTGGTATTCTAGGATAAGAATTGAGCATCTAGCTAAGATTATGTGGAAAGGGTTCAACCAACCTTGGCCATGGAAGGGGGGCTAACCTTTCATGGCCTATTGGCACCTCTCATTGGAACATTGGAAGGTGAACTTTTGCTGATGCTCCCCAGTTCTATTACTTGCACCTATGCAATAAGTACAAAACACATCAACCACCATTCTGATCAGCTTACTCATTATCTTACTCATTAGGATTTTTGCTCCTTGCTCTCACTTAACATTGCCACATCAAAAGAATTACTTGTTTAAAAATACTCATATCATCGATGTCATCAACATGTCATGTCTATATCTACATCCATCAGAGTCTCAGAGTCCCAGAATCTGAGTCTGTTGGAGGAAGGGTGCATTATTTGCATCTGGAAGGGCTTCCCCCTTGTCCAAGATAGCTTTTGCTGAGTGATAGTCCAGTACACCTTTGGACCATTTGAAGGCTGTCTCGTAGTGGTTAAATTTCGGATAAGGTGACACCTCCATCACCACCTGTTTGGCCTCCTGTATGACATCCTCCTTTTCAACCTGTCAGAACATGTAATTATAAGAAGAGAAAAGAAATAGCACCTTGGAATGAAAGTCAGGTGATATTGGACAAGTGGCCCATACACGACCTGTAGAGTACCCGTACCCACAACCCCACGGGTTTACCTGTCAAAACGAGCCCAAGAACATCCAAATCAGTTAAGAATTGAGGGAGTTCTGCCTGAGTTCAACTGGTCATTACAAAATTTTGTAGCCTAGAATTTCGGACATCAAAGTAATCCATGGGTTGTCTGGTCCATGTCAAAATTACATCTGAAATTTCGGACATTGGTGCACTAATACAAATCTGGATGTTTTTTCGGCCACATTTTCGGGTACTTGAAGTACCAAATTTCAGACATTGGAGCATTCCATGGGGGCTGTCTGGCCCCTGTCAAAATTCCATCCGAAATTTCGGACATTGGTGCACTAATACAAATCCGGATGTTTTTGTGGCCACATTTTCGGAGCAGTGACATTCACCAAGTTAATCACAAATCCGGACATTTTTTCGGCCATATTTTTGGGGCAATGACATTCAGCATGTTAAATACAAATCTGGATGTTCATGTCCGTGGAGCTCTAGCTGGTGGCCCGCAGGTGTAACAGATGAACAGGCTCAACAAATGGCATGGCCCGCAGGTACCACAGAAGACCTGTTGGCCTGTGGGTCCAACAGAGCAACAAGTCATCTGCCATGGGTGTAACACAATTGTTCATTCACAGCTGTGACAGAACAATCATTGGTCCACAGGTGTGATGGACGAATCGTTAGTCCACGGGTGTGATGGACCAATTGTTGGTCCACAGGTGTGACAGGACAGAGTTTTTGGTCTGTGAATGAGCAGAGCAACAGGTGGTCCGCAGATCTAACAAAAGCAGGCCTGGCCTGCAGGTATAACAGAACAACTTTGGACTGGGGGTGCAATGGAACAGGCAATCCATGGGGGACCTATTTTTGCATTTAATTCAGGTGTATTTCTGCCACACTTTTGCAATTCATCTGGGCCTATTTTTGCATTTAATCCAGACCTATTTCCACAGTGTTTTTGCATTCCATCCAGACATAATTTTGCCCCATTTTTGAATTTCATCTGGACCTATTTCCCCCGTGTTTTTGCATTCCATCTGGATCTATTTTTGCATTTAATCCAGGTGTATTTCTGCTGCATTTTTGCATTTCATCCTGACCTATTTCCGCCCCATTTTTGTCATTTGTTCAGGCCTATTTCTGCCGCATTTTTGCATTTCTTCTGGACCTATTTCAGCCTCATTTTTCTTTCACATTTGATCTGGTCCATCCATCCGCCCTGTGGTCTGCGGGTAACAGAACCAGCCCCAAAGCCTGAAAATCCAATGGGTCATTGGGCTAAGCTATGAACTATAGCCTACATGTATCCGTGGGCCCAACATACAAGCCATGTCATATGAATTTGGCTGTTGGGCCCAACTATCAACTGTAGCTTAATACAATCATTTATTGATGGTCAAAATTACCCCCATTTAAGCCATGTGGCCAACCTATAAACCCTTAGCATTGATGTGGCAGCTTCATTGGGTGCAACAATCAAATATATATATCCCTACATCATTGGGCCAATGTACAGTATCATAATGTCTTTTGTAATTGGGCCCATTGGGGTAGCCCTATGACTTATTGGGACAATTGATAATTTCTATTGTTATGGTTCCATAGTGTATCTACTGAATGCCCTGAATACCTACTGAATTGCCAAGATTGCCATCATTGTGATGTCAAGGCAGGGAAGCAAGAGGATGATGACAATCACTTCAGTCACCCACTGCCAACTGACTATTAGTCATGCAAACTCCATGTAAGTTACATGACTAAATGTCATGGACCATATCTATATTCTAGATATATATGGGTCCTAGAAAGCTCTAAAATCTAAAATATATTCTTGAGACATGGACCCTGAAATGTCACACAAAAATTATAATGTCTGTGTCACACCACCAAAATATATTTTGCAAGTGAAATGCAGTAAGGATATATTTTTGGTGAGTGGGCCCTGAAATGTCACTGTCACACCTTAGAAATATATTTTTGCCCTGGCTTGGCCTTAGGATATATTTTGTGAGATAGATGTGGTAAGGATATATTTTTCTGGTCTGTAGGGGTGTCCAGGGTCCTAGTTTCAGCAAAAAACTTGTAATTTTTTTCCTGTCTGGGGTATATATTCTGGAAAATTATGCAATGACTTCCAGCAATAAGAGGCATCAATAGCATCTGTGGTCTACCTGAGTTGTTCAAGTATTATCCACTTCCAATGACACTATGAATACAGTTTGCATTACAGATTCTTTTAGCTGCTCAAAATTAACAAAGTCCTTTGTTGTTTCTCTCTTACTCTTTCTAGCTAATCATTGCAAGGTTCCTGAGTTGCTTAAGTATTATCCACTTCAAAACTATGAATACAATTCACACTGTAGAAATTCAATGCTCAGAGTGCAAAAAGTACTTTGGGCAGCCTTATAATACAATCTCTGCCACCTCTGCCTCTACTTCAGCTCTGAGATCTCCAGTTGCACCTTACCTGCATGTTCTGCTTGGTTGGTGAGTCTACTCTGCCATTTCTGTATGATTCCTTTTTTTTTCACCACCACTCCAGATCAAGCTGTCATTCCATATGTCAAATATGGCACCCACAAGATATCCTTTTGTTCACATTTCATCTAGGTGTTTGGCACTGCTCACTTCAGCTCTGAGATCTCCACTTGCACCTTATCTGCATACCCCACCAACAATATCAATCATCTCTTCTAACCCATTTTTACAAATAAAGATGCCTAATTGTTTGTGTGATCTCCTCAGTCCCATTTCCACTTCTACATTGCATCAGTTGCTTACATGAGTCAATCTTTTGCCAGCACTCTCTTGTTTCCACTGGGATGTCGATTTGGTGTGGCATATTTCTGTGTTGCACTTGAAATGATACATATCAGTCAAGCAACAGCAAGCATGCAGGGAATCATGGAAAATACAAAGAAGAACATTGTATTACAACATGGTGAACAGAAATTTGTTAGAGGAGAATGGATGTTGTTCCTAAATTTACAATCAAGAGTCAAGAGAAAGAGAGAGGGAGGGAGAGGAAGAGAGAGAGGAAGAGAGGAAGAGAAAGAGAGGAGAAATTTGTGGACTCTGAGCAGCTAAAAAAATCTGTAACTTGAAACTTCTTGATTGCTGGTATTGTTGACAGCTGGGCCTGACCAAAAGGTGCAACTGGCTTGGCAACTTGTAAGTTAGGCATGTACAGAAGCATGCTGTCCCCGTTTAGGTGGTGCGACACCAGGAACATTCTCTTTTGTGGAAATGGTCTGTTGGCCAGGCATTAGAAATGATGCAAAAACAACAATCTATTGATTGAGATAATGTACTGCAGAGCAAAGACAACAGCCCATGTTGGACAAGTAGGTAAGGGTGATGTTTATTAAGGTTGATGTGTATTTCAAGAGATGGTTATCACTACCCCAAACAACTCCATCAAAATGAAAAAGCACACACTACAAACTTTTGTAATGACAAAAAAGCGGACACTACAAACTTTGTAGTCTAAGTCCAAGCTTTTGTAGTCTGGGTCTGACTTTTATAGTCTATCAGTAAACTTGGTAGTCTATAAACTTTTGTAGTCTTTTGGATGGATCGGTAAACTTTGTAGTTGGCACTTTCATTACTATTTCTTACATTTTTCATTAGGATATTTCATTAGGCCCTTTGGTGCTTTCATTACCAAACACAAGGGGCAAACCACATTTAAAAAAGATTCATTGTTATCTCAACTTGGCAGCCACAAAAAGGTGATGAGGTGTATGTCAAATATTTATTAGTAGTTTGTTAGTGCAAGAATGACTTTCAATGACATTAAATAGTTGCTTCACCATTGTTGCCCAGGTAAAACAGGGTCTTTATTTATCATCCTTTTCTGGCAAGAATTTCTTTTGTTTCTCAGTCATTCCTGCTCTAACAAACTACCAATAAATATTTTACATACATGATATGACCTTTACTATTTAACATATTTAACGCCTTTTTATTACCTCTTCACAGGTCACGAATGTGGTTTGCCCCTTGTGAAAAACAATGATGATGTATATCACATGGGTTGTTGGGAGGGTGATCACATGACCAATTTCCCAAAATGGTCAGAAAACAAAAGTTGTAGCCCTTTACCGTAGCTTCCAGAATCTGTTTGAATTATGTTCTGAAGTGGTTCCATTGTGGAGATATGAGGTAAAAAAATTTCCTCACCACTGTCTTTTTTGACCTTTTTGTATTTTTCTCCATGAAAATAACACCAAACAAGATAATTTTAACACATTCAGGAAATTTAAAGAGGGGGCTACAATTATTGTATTGTGGGGAAAAAAATTTAAAGAAATGGCATTGAAAGAGCCAGAGAGCTGAATGAAATACCCAAATAAAAATTTAAAGAAATGCTATTGAAAGGGATAGAGAGCTGAATGAAACATCCTAATGAAAATTATATGAAATGGTAATGAAAGCACCAGAGGATCCAATGAAATATGCTAATCAAAATTCTAAGAAAGGGTAATGAAAGTGCCAGATAGTCTAATGAAATATTCTAATGAAAATTATATGAAATGGTAATGAAAGCACCAGAGGATCCAATGAAATATCCTAATGAAAATTTAAAGAAATGGTATTGAATGGGCCAGAGAGCTGATTGAAATACCCTAATGAAAATTCTAAGAAAGGGTAATGAAAGCACCAGATAGTCTAATGAAATATCCTAATCAAAATTCAATGAAATCAAAATGAAAGTGCCAGAGGACCTAATGAAATATCCTAATGAAAATGGTAAAGAAAGCACAGCTCCCAATGAAAAATCACAATGAAATCTAGAATGAAAGGGTGTGGAATGTGAATAGGATATTTCATTGCCCTTGCCTATACCTTGTAAAAGACTCCAGTGGTAAAATGAACAAAATAGATGGGCTATCCTAATGAAATCTCCCTCATAAAAGCACATGGAAAATGACAAAAAGGCTGTAGGACAGTTGTCATTGATTAATCATAAATAGTGGTAGCCACTAGTGTTATTGAAGAGGCCATCTGAGATGCAAAAGTTGGGCGAGTGTTTCAATTTTAACCAAAATTCATGCTCGTGATGTCTGCTAATGATCAAATTCAGATGATCCATCAATGGTGACATTGAGGACGACATTCTAGATGATCTTCATAGCAAGAACGTGGCAAAGCAATCATTGGGCACCAGGGTACGTCATTTACAATTTTGAACACATTCATGGCTGAGATTGATTTTACTTGGACACTTCGACATGAAATGCCAACCAGGAATATCCCATGGCGACATGAGAAGGTGTGACACCATCTTTTTATTAGCTATATATGTTGGCTCTGAGCTAGCACATTGCACAGAAACATCAAGCAGTATGTCGCCTATCTCTGGACAATTCCTTATGCCCTGCAGTAAGTTTTGCATCACCGCATTCTGTATCGTTTTAACCACCATCCACAGCAACCACCACAGAGAAATGTGACTCCGGAATGTCCACTCATGGTCTGTGTGCACGACAAAGTGGAATCTTCATGCATCAAAAAAGAATTGAAGTGGGGATGGCTTCATCGAGCAAGGAGATAGAGGTGGCTGCAGCTGCTCAATTATGTGTCTACAAGTTGTTTTGTTGTGATATGGTGCTGCAGGTGGGAGGGAAAGAGGTGTGAACAGATACATCACAAGAGGCAGAGCAAGCATCTTGGCTGTGTGAGTCATGGGTCCAAGGCTATTTTGTTGGGGAATGGTAGTGGAAAACAATAGATGAAACCAAGAAAGTTGGGGATGTGGCCAAGATGTGCCACATTGTGCATAGGCATAAAAAAGGAAATTTGCCTTATTTGGTAAGGCATAGTAAGATTCTTTTCCTCTACTAGGACCATTCTACCATATAAGGAGATAAGCTGACAAATAATCTCCTTATTTGGTTGACTTGCCTTTGTCCTTTACACTATAACACTCTGCATGTCCCTCACTCTGTATTCAATTGGAAAGATGAAAAGCAGTTGCTAATAAAGCTGCCTTGTCTGTGCTCCTTGTAATAATAAGCAGGGGTAACCCCAGGGTGTCTTTATCATGACCTACACCCTTACTCTTACCCTTACCCTTACCCCAACTTGAGGTTTTGGAAGGGTAAGGGTTGGGGTAGATGGGGTGTTTGAGATGTAATGTCTCTTTCTCAATCTTCATTGAGGAGTCATGTGAGAAAGACAATCTTTAAATTGGTAAGGCTTTTTCATCATGGACTAATGAATCAGAGTTAAGTATAGTTTGAGAGAGGAGAGTAACTATTAACATGAAAGGATAGAATAGGCTCTACTTATGTCAAAGACGAGTTGAGAATGATACAAAACCACTGATTCAGCAATAGATAGATGGGTGTCAAACTTTTGTAGTGTCAAAAAGGCAGACAAGACAAACTTTTGTAGGTTCAAAAAGTGGACACTACAAATTGTTGTAGTCTCAAAAAAGCAGACACTACAACTTTTGTAGTCTTGAAAAGCAGACAATACAAACTTTTGTAGTCTCAAATAGCAGACACTAGAAACTTTTGTAGTCCAAAAAAGGGGACACTAGAAACTTCTGTAGTATAACCAAAGGGGACACTAGAAACTTATGTTAGTAAAATTTGTAGTCTATTTCCGACATTTTGTAGTTTTTTGTAGTCTTTTAGTAAATTGTATAGTCTATTAGTAAACTTTAAACTTTGTAAGGTATGTCCAACTTTTGTAGTCTTTTGTAGTCTATCAGTGGTCCTTATAGTCTATGTCAGACTTTTTGTAGCCTTTTGCAGGCTATCCATGTCAATTTCCCTTTTGAGGTATGCACCTTCCTTTTTGGCACAATTTTCCCACGATATGATAATTGTAGCCTCTTCTCTTGGATTTCTAAATGTGTTGAAATCATCTTGTTTGGTTTTCTTTTCATGGAGAAAAATGCAAAAAATGCAAAAAAAAAAAAAGCTGGTGATGAGAAAAATATTTTACCTCATATCTCTACAATGAAAGCACTTTACAACATAATTTAAACAGATTCAGGAAGCTACAGTGCAGGACTACAATTTTTGTTTTTTAACCATTTTAGGCAACTGGTCATGTGACCATTCTCCTGATGACCCACCTGACAGCAGCCAATGAAAAGGGCTGGCCTGCAATGAAAAGTATCCAATGAAATATCCTGAATCAGTCCTCAAGAGAATGACACCTCAAAACTACAACTGGTTTATTCACACGATGCTTTCTTATCACACTAGAAAGGTTATTGCCTGCCAAGCCAAAAAAGCAGCTAAAGTGATGCAGGAAGAGGAAGGTGATGATACTGAAGATGATGAAGCTGAGTAAGCAAAACATGTATATAAACTCTACTTAACAAGTTTCAAACCCCACTATTGAATTATTAAATGTACACTTATAAAAATTGCAAACTGATTACTTAGCACTCTGATGTACCTTTTTTGCTTAGAAGTCCAGCAAACTGATGACTTAGCAAGTATTACTGGTTTCTGCCTCTGTCCATCGGAAATCCAGCAGAAGTCCAGCAGACGTCCAACAGACACAAAATCCGGCCAGTCCAACCATTTCTTGCTTCTAAGTGGCTTGAGCAGACTTTCACTGGACTTTGCCTGGACTTGCAACGGAATCCAACCATTTCCAATGGACTTCCAATGGACTGTCCACTGGGTCTGTTGGAAATGGCAGGGTCCGATGAAAGTCCGTCAGAGTCCGTTGGACAAGCAGTGGGAGTGTAAAGTACTGGAAATCCGGCAGGAATATGTAGGGCATCACTAAGACCTCCATTGCCACAGTCAAGCTGCAGTAGGATGCTGAGAGTGGACCTTGCCAATGGTACAAGCCAAACACCTGATGTGGATTGTTATATGGGTGAGAAGTACATAGATCCCATTACATAAGCATGAAGAAAATGGCATGTTCTTATCTCTCCCTTATTGCATCAAATCTAACCTCTTCGCTATTGATTACAACTTTGTCTGAAATGGAAACAAGAGCCAGTTCCTGCTGGCATATATAGCTCATCATTCCCCCTTCTTCCCCTCACCCTTCTCATCCTCCACCACTGCTACAATGATGACTGGCAGTATTGATGGCTCTGGGGTTTCTTCTCTGGCCACTCGTGGATCAACTCATGTCTGTGATGTGAATTTTCTTAATTGAAAAATGGAACTTATTGACTGGGCAAGGGTGAGATTTTTTGAATGCCAGTGAGTATTTTCGCCTGCATATATGCATCACTTTGTAAGTTCTGATGTTTTGGTGTTCATTTATCTAGGTTTGCATGTTGTTCTGATGAACAGGCTGCTGAGGCCAGTCATGCACATCACAGATTTGCCTTGAACACCCTGTCAGCCCCCAACAGTCGGCAGTCAAGTTGAAATGTCTACATCACTGGTACTGTGCTCAACAGGCTGTGCTTCACTTTCCCACAGCTCATTGACTCTGGAGTTGGATGGAACAGTTGATCAGATGTAAATCAGGGATTTGGAGTGGTTTTTTTTTGTCTGTGAGGGATGTATAAGGCACATATGCAATCATTCTTGTTCTGACTTTCCACTTTCCAGCACATGGTGTGCTAATCAAGCTATCCCTTTCAAAATGACAGATTTGGGCGGCTACAGCATTCTGGCAAAACATCATGAGGTGACTTACATAATCTATATTTTGTCTTTCACACTGTCAAGCTTACTGCCCGAGCTGATGCAGTCATTGATGGATGCTACACATGGCCTCAGGTAAGATCCCACAACACTAGTAGCTTTGTTTAACAATGTTGCAGAAGGATCAATAGCCCCAAAACAACCAACATCAGTCCTCCAGCTCCCAACGCTCCACATCCTGACCCCCTCACCTTGATTGCCCCCTTTGTAATCAAAGCCTTAGTTACAGTTTACCCCTCTCTCCTTGCCATTGCAGTTGAGGCAGCCCTGGCTATATGTGCAGCCATGGGTGCAATTCCTCACACACCACCATCAACAACAAATTGACCTATCTCATCGCCAATGCCCATCCAGCAAGGATGTCAGTTGTCATTGCCACAATCATTCTGCTCCACCTCCTCAGGAAACACATACTGGCATGTCTGAAGGGAGGTGACTTCATTGCAGGTCGAATCCAGATGGTGATCCTGATTGTTCACCACACATGCATCCACTCCTCTCTTCCCTTTGACTCAATGCTAATTGATTAATCTTCCAGAGTGCTGCTTTTTTTTTCTTGTGTGTCGCTCACTTCAGTCACCCATTTTTGGGTACCTATGAGGTTATCCAATTCTTTGAATTAGGGAACCTTAGTGGTACCCCATTCCAGAGTGGTATGACCCTCATACCAATTCCATCATACCATGGTATGGATGCCACATACCATTCCACCTCATACCATACCATTCCACCTCATACCATACCATACCATTCCATACCATTCCATACCATTCCATACCATACCATACCATACCATACCATACCATCATTCCATAGCTGTCACAGGGTGTCTGGGGTCCTTTTTACAAAATATGAAAATTATTTCTCCAGGCTGTAATACTGATCCATTGGGCTCCATTTTTTGTGGACTGGTTCTTCAGATTTCTTCTGACATTTTAAGCTACAAGTGGAGGCTATAGGGTGAACTTGATCTTTTGAAAATTCACTTGAAAATTAGCTTGATTGGGCTTTATCCCAGGGTTTGGCCATTTTCACTGTGGATAATCCATCACAAGCCACTTAAAAGTGTATATCTTGCCAGGCCATTTATATTCATGACAAATAAATTAATGTTGTATCCATCACAATGGCATGGCCTCTGAA